TTTATTTTGTCTTTAAAATTTGATACTGATGTTGGCAACATATTTCTCAGCATTAATCTCCCTCCCTTTATTTTTCTACTACGTGCTGTCATAAAACATCAAATTAAATCGGTAGTTTTGCCCCATGGACTTTCGTTCACTCGAGTCTTTCTTTTTGGTACCTCACTAGCGCACGGAGTAAGCTCATAGTTTAAGGCACATGCTGACTCACCTAAAACCATCCAAACACTGAATCTGATGTAAGTCCAATGATTTAGCGTCGACAGCAGTAAAACGTTAAAAGATATTGTAAGAGTGGGAATGATAGGGACTCCTGGAACCATGAATGGGAATGTGGCGGAATTTCTGGGCTGCCTGGTAATATACATCAAAGTAGCGACAATCATTAAACCAAAGATGCAGCAATGAAGGACTACCCACGGGTCTCTTCGAGTCAACTGTTCGTTAGCACGAGTAAGAAAAACTGTGACAGCTGTTATGGATAAAGTCAACACAAATGTGGCAACACGAACTCGAAAGCTTGTTTGTTCATCTGGTTGTTGGGAACCAACTGAGGAATCTTCGTCATTGTTTTGAACCTGGTGATAGCTGACCTCTCGCATGACATCGTCTTGGCCCGCAGTTTCCCCAAGACGGCAGCAGATCGATTGCAGCCATTTGTCGGTCTTTTCGTTGTTGGTATCCTTGTCTGTTGTTACACTTTGAACTCCAGGTGTGTAGCGTGTAACTAACACGGCGATTGCTACCATTGTGTACGCTACTAGAGTGCCAATTGACAACATTTCAACCTAAAAAAGAGGTAGACATTTCAACCCGAGAAATTAATAACTTATAAATTTGGCGAAACCATTTGACTGAGAGAATTCAATGCTTTAAACACTATAAAATACACGATATAATGGTGGCACTTTGAAGATCTTCAACGGTCTTGGAAGGGGTCAGTCAGGAAATCGTCGAGAATGCTTGCTGCGATCTTCACTTGGGGATCTTTTAAAGATCTTTAACGAATCCTTGAAATATCCTTTTCTCAAAAGATATTAAGAAGCACTTCAAAGACCGCAGCGTAAGATCCTCAAAGATCCTGTAAAGGTTTTCACCAAAGCTTAACATCACATCAAAATCACGGTATTCTGAGACTTCGCAATTTGTAAAAGCTATCTTTAAAATCTGCTTTTAGCTTTAACAAATTTTAACCAACCTCGCTCCTTTTTAGTTTTTTCTTTCCATTCCGATAATAAGTCTATTATTCTGAGTTTGTTACATAACAACATCTTGAGACCCGTCTTAAACTACCAAGTCAGACCCAAGTCAGTGAAACTGGTGTGGGCAAAGTAACATTCCAATTCCCAGCAGACACAAAACCTGATCAAAATACTTAGGTTGCCAAGATGCAAGAATGTAATCTAACAAGTAATAAACTTACCAACTGTTTTACATCAAGCAGCAATGCAAGGATTGCGATCAAAATACCATTAACCAAAGTTGCACGCACTGGAACTCTCGTCTTCTCGTGCACATGCGCAAACCAGTTAAATAGCAAACCATCGGAAGCCATGGAATACACAACACGTGGGCCAGCAAATGAGTTGGTCAGCAGCGTACCCACCGTTGCGCAAAGTCCTCCAGTTGCAACGACGTACTTGGCGCCGCTAAATCCACGCTGAGCAAACGACTCGGCCAAAGCAGCAAACCGACTCAGCTTATCATAAGGCATCATAAGCGTAAGAACTGTGGCAACTCCAAAATAAGCCAAGAAGCTAATGGCAAAGGTTAGCATGATAGATAATGGCACTGATCGTTTGGGATTGATAGCTTCTTCACTTGCCGTGCCTATTACATCAAATCCACCAAAGGCATAGAAACAGCTTCCCGCAGCTGTCAGAACACCGCTTACTCCGTACGGTGCAAATTTGGATTGCCAGTTCTTTGCCTCGACAAAGTATAATCCAGTGCAGATTATGAATAATATGACAGAAATGTTCACGAAAGTCATAATCTTGTTGACGAAAGAGGACTTTTGCGCTCCTAATGAGACAATTATTGCAATAATCAAGGCCAACGTAAAAGCCAAAACATCAGGAAAGCTTCCCAGGGCTGGAACGTTCCAAGTGACGATGTAGTTCATAAAGAACTTGTATATGTAGCCTTGGGCGAAAGAGTTGATGTACTCGCTGCAGGCTCGTGCCAAGCTTGCGGCAGCGATGATATATTCTAGAATCATGTTCCATCCAACAACAAAGGCCCAAAACTCTCCAACAGTTACATAGGAGTAGACATAAGCTGAACCAGCCTTGGGTATACGACAGCCGAACTCTGCATAACAAATTCCCGATAAAAGAGCGGCAATTGCTGCAATGAAGAAGGAGATAACAACAGCGGGTCCAGCAATGTCACGTGCCAACTGTCCTGTGACCACGTAGAGACCTGCACCGACAACTGTGCCTACCCCTATGGAAGTCAGGTCCAGAGTTGTGAGACATCTTTTAAGGGGGCTCTCAGACAGCCAGTCCTCTGTTGGCTTTTTCCGTGTTAATTTGTTGTACACTTTTGAGCAGCTATTCATGGCTGGTAAAAAAGAATAATAGAAAATGGTCACCAGTGAGCTATATTTAAAAACGGAAATGTTGAAGTTTTCAAGTGTTGCTCAATCAAATTTCATAACTGTTTCATATCGTAATGTTTAGAATTTAATTTAAGCAATAGAAATAGCGTATAAGGTCTTCATGAAGGTCTGTACATTATAAAGCGTACTAGCTTGAATATTCTCAGGTAAAAGAGACTTTTGCAGTTTTAGTTGAAAAATGTATGGTTAAAACGTTGATGTGGGCGAGAAAACTTGTCTTTCCTTTAGACAAG